GTGTTGGAACAGAAAGTGTTTTCATTGAGTTGAAAATGAAAAAACAACAACAACAGAAAATATGTAACAAAAGATTTCATTTTAAAGTCATGTCAAAGTGATGTTCTTTAGGATTTAAAACTAAATGAAATTCATTTCTCTGTTTCTCCTCGTCCTCCTCGTCCTCTTTACTTTTATATATATATTATATAAGTATATTAATTATATATATAATTATATAATTATGCAGATACTTCAGTTTTAGGATCAGAATCGGGCCGTGATAACGTCGTATCCGTTCAGGTTCTGTTCTCGTTACGGTTCCGTCCAGACCTTCTGACTCCTGTCTCCTCAGTGACAGCAGCAGGAACATGAACCCGGTCGAAGGTTCAGTAGCTTCAGTTCTGAAGGTTCAGTAGCTTCAGTTCTGAAGGTTCCTGTGAACCGATCACATCTGCGCTGGAACTGTTGAAGCACTTCCTGTGACTGAGGTGGGGGGGCGCTGTCTTCTTTGTTCCCCACATTTCATATCACACTTTTTTTAGTTTCATCAAACCACCCACACTTGTCACTCGACCCCCCCCCGCTGTTTGGTGTTTGTTGGAAGAGACTTTTGGAACAAGTGGAAAAAGAACAGTCAGAAACACAGTAGGTGGAGATGTTTGGTTCAGTGGATCCAACAGTTCTTGACTGAACTGAGGACAGGTGTCCCTCTGTGGGGGGGGGGGGGGGGCAGTACCCCATCATGCTCTATGGCAGTGGTGAACAGGAGTCTGGACCAGACCTTGTTCAGAGAACCCAGTGGACCGTATCTGGCCTGCGGACCGTAGTTTGTCCACGTCTGCTCTAGATTGACTGTTGTAGTGAATGTGACCAACAGTCGGTCACGTCCGTCATAGCAGACCTCACTACAGTCTCACTACAGTCTCACAGACTTCATCACAGGTCCTCAGTGTTAGTCTGTGATTCTTTCCACCGACGTCTTTTAATTAAAGTCACAATTGAAATTTGAACAGATTTTGGAGGATTTCCTTTTATGGACGACAAACTGCTGGGAAAATTATTGCTTCTTTTCACCGAGGACCAGTGTGTGTGTGTGTGTGTGTGTGTGTGTGTGATTGGCTCTCTGGTTTCAGGGCTTTTAAGATGTTGGAGATAACACTTGTGTGCAGCCTCCACTCAGGATCCTGTTACTGTGTTTGTGGTGATGATTTATTCCCCCTGGAGTTCTGCTGAGGCCGTGAAACCTAAACGGTGTTTAGCATTTAGACACACACACACACACACACACACACAGACAGACAGACAGATGTTGCCACAGGGAGCGTTTTGCCTGGTTAAAAGCTCTTTAGGTGTCAGAGAGCGTCCAACTGTCCCTCAGAGAGACGCTCCACCAGCTCAGGTTCCAACAGTCGTCTGGACTCCACTCTGACCACTGACCGATTTTCAACTTAAACACTGATAACGATGACGGTCCATCAGTACCGTGGGCTCCGGCGTTTCCTGGTCCGGTTCAGTTTCCAGTCCAGAACCACACGGTCCAAAGACAAAGACGCTGCCAGGTCCAGTCTGAAGAGTCCGTCCCCACTCCTCGTCTCCACTCCTCGTCTCCACTCCTCGTCTCCACGTTGGTTCACAGATTGGTATGGACGGAGGCAGAGCTGCCGTGGAACCACAGACACTTTTCATTTGTTGACTGGACTTTTTTAGTTTTGTGGAGGAAAAACAACGACGACGACCTGTTAAATTTCCTTCAGTCGTTTTTAACACAACGTGACACTGTTGTAGTTTATATTTACAATTATCCGTTTCTTTACCAACCGTCGGTTGGTAACGTCCAGTAAAGACCAGAGTTAGCTTTAGCTTTAATCTATTAGCCTGCTGTTAGATTGAGATAAAAAAAATATTTGAATTGTACTTTTGTCTGTGTTTAATTCACTTTAACATATTTATGATCCTGGAGTTAGACGTTGGTTCACAGATTGGTATGGACGGAGGCAGAGCTGCCGTGGAACCACAGACACTTTTCATTTGTTGACTGGACTTTTTTAGTTTTGTGGAGGAAAAACGACGACGACAACGACCTGTTAAATTTCCTTCAGTCGTTTTTAACACAACGTGACACTGTTGTAGTTAATATTTACAATTATCCGTTTCTTTACCGACACCGAGTGTTGGGTAACGTCCAGTAAAGACCAGAGTTCGCTTTAGCTTTAATCTATTAGCCTGCTGTTAGATGGAGATAAAAAAATATTTGAATTTTACTTTTGTCTGTGTTTAATTCACTTTAACATATTTATGATCCTGGAGTTAGATTGGTATTGATTTTTAATCTCATTTTCCTCTTTCAGTTTTTTTTCATTTTCTTTTCTATTTTATTTCCTGTGAAGTTTTTTTTTTCAGTTTCTATTTCTGGACCAGAGTTTGAGCAGAATTTAATATAAAAACTGATATAAATATGATACAGACAATGACTGTGTCCTGGTCACGAAAACCTCTGCTGTTTTCAGAGCCTAGAGTGTCGTCCCATTGACACAGACACAACAACAACACAACAACAACACAATAATACAACAACAACACAATAATACAACAACAACAACAACAAATACAACAACACACAACAACAACAACAACAACATTACAACAACAACAACAACACAATAATACAACAACAACAACAACACAGCAACAACAACACAACAAATACAACAACAACAACACAACAACAACAACACAACAAAAACAACAACAACAACACAACAACAACAACACAACAAAAACAACAACAATAATACAACACAACAAATACAACAACACAACAACAACAACAAATACAACAACAACACAACAAATACAACAACACAACAACAACACAATAATACAACAACACAACAACAACACAATAATACAACAACAACACAACAACACAACAAATACAACAACAACAACACAACAAATACAACAACAATACAACAACAACAAACACAATAACAACAACACAATAACAACAATAACAACACTACAACAACAACAACACAACAACAACAATACAACAACAACAACAACAACATGAGTGACAGATCAGTCGTCCTGGAGGTCGACTGAAGTCACAGTTCTGTTCCTTCTGTTTATTCATGTTCTTCTGACAACACGTCTGTGTGTGTGTGTGTGTCTGTGTGTGTGTGTGTGTGTGTGTGTGTGTGTGTGTGCAGCTCCATCTCCGGTCAGCGTGGTGAGGAAAGGTCACACAGAGAAGAACAGCATCGCCCTGTCGTGGGCGGAGCCTGATCGTCCCAACGGCATCATCCTGGAGTACGAGATCAAGTATTTTGAAAAGGTAAAAAAAAATAAAAAACTCAAAAAAAACAAAAAATGTTGTTTGATGTTAACGATCTGTGACAGAGATGATTCTAGAACTGATCAAATGAATCGGTTCTTTCTGAACTACTGCAGTATTGAAGCTGTGAAGATTCTGAACCTCAAAGATTTCACCGCCTTGTTTTCCCTCTAGTGGTGGCTTTTTATATCACATCCACTCAGTGAGACTGACTCCCCCNAGCCATCTGATCCTTGTGCTGAGGTCATTTCCTCTCCGCTCTCGTCTTCTTTTTCGGGGAAGGTCAGGATGAAGGAACGCCGCCTCTGTGGTCGGTGGTTAGCTAATGGCTAATGGACGGCCATTTAGCTGCCTTTAAACCCGATGTGGTTTCAGTCGGAAAACTGATCCCTGTTCCACACACGCACGTGCACTTCCACACACTCACTGCAGGTGGTGTTGTTGTTCAGAAATGAAGGAGTCGTAGCAGAGGAGGCGACCCTTAGGTTGAACATCAACGATGGGCGAAGCCAGAAGTCTTGATCGATACGATACTGATTAGTTTTTTGGAAATTGTTTCAATGCTGATATTGATCAGACGGAGTCACTGCGTCTGGTCACATGACATGAATGGAGCAGTTCAGTTTCACGTCACCAGGGGGTGTTGCAGCACTAAAGCCTTTATGTGGTTGGATGGTGGGTTGGATGGTTGGTTGGTTGAATGGTTGGGTGGTTGGTTGGGTGGTTGAATGGTTGGTTGGTTGAATGGTTGGGTGGTTGGTTGGTTGGTTGGATGGTGGGTTGGATGGTTGGTTGGTTGAATGGTTGGGTGGTTAGTTGGTTGGATGGTTGGTTGGGTGGATGGTTGGTTGGGTGGTTAGTTGGTTGGTTGGTTGGGTGGTTAGTTGGTTGGATGGGTGGGTGGTTGGTTGGATGGGTGGGTGGTTGGTTGGTTGGATGGTGGGTTGGATGGTTGGTTGGGTGGTTTGTTGGATGGTTGGGTGGATGGTTGGTTGGATGGTTTGGTGGTTTTCACACCCTCGTCCAGACACCGTGACCTCGGTGACCCCCCGGTGACCTCAGTGACCCCGGTGACCTCGGTGACCTCAGTGACCTCAGTGACCTCTGTGTGTTTCCCCCTCCAGGAGCAGGATTCACACCCTTGTCCAGACGCCGTGACCTCGGTGACCCCGGTGACCTCAGTGACCCCGGTGACCTCAGTGACCTCGGTGACCTCAGTGACCTCTGTGTGTGTGTTTCCCCCTACAGGAGCAGGACTCCAGTTACACCATAATGTGTGTTTCCCCCTCCAGGAGCAGGACTCCAGTTACACCATAATGAAGTCAAAGGAGACAGAGATGGTGGTGGAGGGTTTGAAACCCTCCTCAGTTTACATCTTTCAGGTAAAGAAAAAAAAAAGTCAGAAGTCGTAAAAAAAAAAAGTCTTCAACAAAAACATGAGCTTCAACCGTTCTTCAGGTACGAGCCAGGACCTACGCGGGCTACGGCGCTTTCAGTCG